AAAAATATTCAGCGCGCGAGAAGTGATCGAAATTATAACGATATGCTTTTAAATTATTTGAGAGCTTTTGTTGAATGAATTTTAGGTTAAGTGGAGAACAGATATTTATTAAAAAAGGTAAATTCAAACGTTAAATAAATCTGAAACTTTCAGTTGTTAATTTGTGATAATAAAATTCCATAGTCTAATACACTTAAATTCTAACTGTATGTTCTTTTCATTTTTAATGGCGATGGTCTCTTATTTGAAAGTACGTGGAATTAAATACAAGCCCCGTAGTCAAGTGTTTTTCCCGCTTTTCTACACGTACAGTTATAGAATGTTCTGGAAATATTAAGCGAACTGGTGGCTGACGTCATTTCTGGAAGCTCCGCTTTTCCAGAGGCATAAGAACTCGCAAAAGATATCGGGGGCTTTCTTAAAGTCCGATGCAGTAAACTTCATACAAAAAGTTATTAGTAATTCTTTTTATTTCCGGATATCTGATTTTGTAACTGCATTCTCCTGAATAATAATAAATGGATCCTGTTTTTTAAACTTATCGTCTGATAATTTAAGCTACGACTACATTTATGATTCTTCACCAATCATTTATTCCGGACAAAAGTGGTACATCCACACACACACACACACATATATATATAGATTTAAAAACACATTTTTAAAACAAAATATAATATAATGAGGTAAATTCTTATATATATATATAGATATATCGCTACGGATCTAGCAATTTGAGAATTTCCCAATGAGGAAAAATCTGCAATAGAAATTTTTCAAAGACCAAGCATTATCATTCATGATAGCGATTTATGTTGGAACAACCATGAGCTGAAATTATACTTTAGTGGTAACTCAGCAGCGAAATGGCAGAGCAGGAAAGAAACCTGTATGATCAGAAAGGATTCAGAAGTATATCTGTAGTGATCAGAAAGGATTCAGAAGTCAAAACTTGTTCGAAGGATCGAAAATTCCCTTCCTTACAGCCGTTAGATTCATCTATTTTTGGTGTCAGGAGGTGACATTTACTGAATTTTGTGAACGCCAGCTGAAGATGGACCACAATACAGCTGTAGACTGGAACAGTTACATGTGTGAGGTGTTTGTCGCAGCTTTAATTGCTCGGCCTAAGTTGAAAATCGGCAAATCTAAGTTGTAGCAAAATTATTAAAGTAGACTGAAAAGTCTTTTCAGTAGAAGGAAGAATACCATTGGACGTGTTCTTCCGCCACAATGGGTTTTCGGCGGATTATGCAGAGAATCAAATGCATATTTCTTCGTCGCTGTTCTAGATGGATAGACGAAAACCTTATTGAACGTCATAAACGCAAATATTGCAGAAGGACTGCTGAAAATCATATAAGCTGGATGAACTGCAGGATGCTGGTTTTAACCCTTTGAGGTACAGTGTGTTTGGTCTGGACACACCTAAAAATTTCCTTCTGTACGCACAGAAAAATTGAATGAAAAAGGATTTATAGGTTACTATAAGTTACTCTAAACCTTCTTTATTTATAGTAGATGGCAGCTCAACACAAACCAGTTCATATATTTTAGCCATGTTTAGTTTTTTAAGACCCTCATTTTTCAAAGAAATCTTCCAGATTTTTTAGGTATATAAAAGGAATTGTTTGAAAAGAAATTTCTATGTTATTTTTTGGCTGTATGCTAATCTCCTTATTGTATATTAGTTTTAAATTTTTACTTTGAAATCTTGCCTAAAATCAAACGGCGAACCCTAGGTGTGCTCAGACCGGGCTCAACGATTTTCTAGGACAACTGAGAGTCTATATTCTTTGTTTCTCCGCATCTCATCGGTCAGTTCATTGACAACAATGCTCATTTCAGCACGCTTTTCGAAGCTCTATTCAATCAGTGTGCCACTTTTGGTACACCCACAGAATTAAAACGATAAGTGCTACCTTCACAAAATTTTTCTTGTGTACTCCCCTAGGCCTAAGTAGACTGCCTACTTTTTTTTTTTTTTTAATCAAAACTCCGACTTTAAAAGGTAGCGTGCCGGAAAGGGTTAAATATTTTACTGTCAACGACAACTGCAATTTTGTTGACCCCGAAAGTTCGTGTCATATGCAAACAATAAATAGAAAGGCTGTGGGCAGTGTTAAATGTTGTAATAAATGCTATATGGGCACTGCTCGACAACATTCTGATTCTTATTCCTCCGAGCTTATGTAGAGACGTTTCCTTAAAAATGATCAAAAATTTTTTGCCTCCCTTTTAATTTCAGTTACGTTTAGCCTTTTTTTTTAATTAAAATAATAAAAAAAAGTATTATATGAAATTGACATTTCATCAAATTAAATTAATAAACTTAGATAGTTAATTACTATTACGCTTTCTTTCACTTATGTTCAGCCACTGGTTTATAAGTTATAATATCAAAAAATGTATTATATGAAATTAACCTTTCATCCAAATTAAAATAATAATCTGAGATAGGTATTTACTATATTGCTTTCATTAAGTTCTGTTTAACCTTCGCGAAAATTAATGTTTTCTGAATTAATATCTGGACTGATTAAAGTCATACGAAGACGGGAACAGTCGAAATGGCTTCCCACGAATTTTTGCAATCGGAAACAATGTATTTAATGTTCGGCAATGCTATTTTTATTTCATTCTACAACTTCGAAATTTTTTATTAACAGACTGTAATATTTGAAAGCCAGCAATGGCAACACTTTTCAAAATAAAGCAAATGAGACTGTTGAGACTCGGAAAAATGAAGGCGAAAATTAGCGTTTTAGAATTTTTAATTAATATCTTTGATTTTAGCTTTAAAAAAAAGTGGACTTCGACCTAGAAAAGAATTGTAGAAAGTTTGGTGACTATAGCTGTAGTAGGGACTGAGTTAATCGCGAACAAACAAACACACAGATAGCCATTCTTCTTTATACACAGTGGTTCACAAAAGTGTTCGGACATTTATACGAATTTCAGTGAAATATTGCTTTATTCATTAATAAAAATGCGATTTTAGAATGAAAATTTTTCATTTATATCTATAAATTCCTCTTAACAAAACAACATTAATTATTTTATGAATATATTAAAAAATTAAAAAAAAAATAACAGAAAGGTTACCTCACAAAAATCTTCGTACGCTTTAAAGAAAGCTGCACATATTAGTAAACATTGTAGTTTTTCTGTCATTTAGTATATTGTAGTATGTACCGCTGTATTTATGACAGCTTTCAAACGTCTGGCCATAGAGTTTTTTGTTTTAATGTTGTGTCTTCGTACTCTAATTTCTTATTTCGTCCAGATGTGCTCTCTCGGGTTTAAATCTGGTGGCTGAGGTAGTATTTTCAGAACTTGTGGACAATTATAGACATCCAAAAGGCGAACGTTGAGGACCGCGTTATCGTTATCCTGATAAAAAATAAAGTTTTTTCCAATATCCAAATTTTGGGCAGATAATTTTTTACATTATCTTCTTAAATATTTAAATAAAGAGTATGATTCATTGTGCTATCAAAGGCCCACCAGCGGCTGAACGGTAAAGTCGCTGAACACTGGTAGTTCGGCCCGAGGTTCGAATCCCGCGAACGGTCTGGCTGCATGGGCGTTTTCGTGGTTTTCCCCATGTGTAACGTATATACGAGCCAGTTTCCTTTAGAATGTCTTCCACGAAGGCATCCCTCCCCTTACGCAGATAGCCATAGTTTGCTTTGCAATAATTAAATAAACCAAACCAAAACCATTGTGCTATCAATAAATACTAAATTATTTAATCCTGATACTGACATGCATCCTCACACAAGAACACCTGCACCGCCATGCTTTACTGTACCCAATGTCTTGGGATTAAGCTCCTCATTTTTTTTTTTTCTCTCTTCTCCATGCAGCCCACCAGCGGCCGAGCGGTGAAGTCGCTGAACACTGGTAGTTCGGTCCGAGGTTCGAAACCCGCGAACGGGCTGGCTGCATGGGCGTTTTCGTGGTTTTCCCCATGTGTAATGAGTATACGAGCCAGTTTTCCTTAGAAAGTCCTCCACGAAGGCATCTCTCCTCTTAGGCAGATAGCCCTAGTGTGCTTTGCCATAATTAAATACACACACATTTTCCTCCATACAATTATCGGAATAAAAAATGTTAAATTTGTTTTCATCTGCAAATAAGACATGATTCTAATACCCTTAAGGAAGAAAATCCTAAGCTTGCTGTTTCTTGCACTTCCAAAAAATTTTCTTCGCGCAGAGCGCCCATGTATTCCACCTGATATGAGTGCTCGTCGAACAGTTTTAAGTGAAATTGAAGTAGAAGAGCTTTCAGTAAATTCTGTAGAATGACACTCAAAACATGGATTTTTCACACATTTTTTCTAACTATAAATCTCTGATCATGTTGAGTCCTCTTTGCCGGATAATGTCTTCTCATTTTATTTTGGATTCGATTTTCTTCTTTAAAGCATTTTTATCACATACTGCACCGTAGAATGGGATAAATTTCCTAATCTAGCGATATCCCGAATCCAATTTCCATCCTTATGATGAAAAGTAATCAATTTTTGAGTGCTGATCGTTGTTTCGTTACGCCTATGAGCTGTTTTTAAATATTAAATAAAATATAACGAAGTAAGCAAGCAAAAATAAAGCCAAAGAATTTTTTAAACGTCACCAAAATGCAAAAAATAAAAAAAAAGTGGTAGATGATACTTTTATTTATGAAATTTTACGAAAGTATTTCGGTTCGACTACGTGTTTTATCTGTGCTTTCTCGCATTTTCAATTTTAGAAAACGAAAATAAGTCAGTATTAAAAGTTAAAAAAAAAATGGTTTTATTCAAAGTCACTTGGAGATGCGAAAAAATATTGCGCTTTATATTCGAATTCAATTTCGAGTTAAAGCGCTCTTTCTACAAATTCTTAAAGTTTCCGAACACTTTTGTGAGACACTTATATATAGCTAATAATAAAAAATGCATTATATGAAATTAATCTTTCATCTAAATTAAAATAATAATCTTAGTTACTTACTACTATTAAGTTTCCTTTTTTGCGTTAGGGTTACCATAATTGTTTTTGGTATCATTGGCATCAACAATAGTTTGTCGATTTTTACGGTCCCTATAAGGAAATTGTGAATTATTATTTTGTTAAAATCATTTGCTATCTCTATCTATAATAATTCTGTCATCAGCTCTAAAGCCGCGAATTCCTGCTGCGCACTGACAGTGCCTGATTGTTATTGGCTACCAAATTCAAATAGTCAAGTAAACAGGTAAAGATAAAGGTTACAATAATACGATATGGAGATTCGTATTACAACAGTACGATACGATAGAAGAGAAAAATACACGACAAATTGCGTTAAGTGTTAATGGCAAGGCTCCAATGACAGGTAGAGGAACAGCTTCAGTATAGCCCACCTTTAATGTTTGGCGAATTTGTTTTGGCGCCAAAGCACATGAAATACGTTGTTTTGAAAAATGGTTGCCATTCAGATTTTCGACGAAACTCCGTGTTTCAAAAATGGCGGCCATCTTGATTTCACCAGAAATCGTGGATAATAGAAATAAATTTACGACTATTATACACGATTTTAAAAGAAAGAAATATTAATGAATGATTAATGAAAATGATTAAGGTTAAAAGGATGTAATTTTAAAAACAATGTCGGAAAATTTCTCCTTTGCTTGGCTTTCCAAAATGTAAGATACCTTTGCATGGTATCTTACACTTTTCACAACAAGTTTTATCCTTCAATAATCCACAATCCATCAAAAATCCTCTATAAAGTTCATACTCTCTTGTTAATTTATACATAAAATATCTGTTTGGAATGCCTGGCTTTCCCAAACTTTTATGCTTGTTTGAAAACTCCCACCTTAAATTTTCCTTTAAAATATCTCGATACTTAATTACAACATCACTAACAGCAGGTTTAGAGCAATCCATAACTAAATGCAAAAATCTGATCTCCAAAACAGTATTCTCCTCAATATCTAAGAGTTAAACAATCGCCGAAAATAGTGTTACGAATTTTGTGTAGATAGTTAATTTTAGTGCAATTCTAATTAAAAAATGTTGTATTTACCAGTGCAATGCAGCGCGAGATAAATTTTAAGAGAAGCTATGCCGGAAAAGTAAGAATACACTGGCACGTGCATTTAACTATGAGTAAATGGATATCTCGATAATTTGTATTGAAATTGAATAAATGTAACTCACTACTATATTAGCTGTAACCGTAATTCCATCCTCTTATTCACATTGCGTTTGGCGAATAGTATGGGTTACCACATCATATCATTTATCGCCGCTCTTTGCGGTATTTTTTTGGGTAAAATTCTGGGTGGGTTATACTGAAGCTGTGCCCAGGTGGAATCAGAAACTTGGAGTCCAAAGTTCAATCTGAAAACTCTGATATATAAATAAAACATTACTTTATTCACACAGGAGCTATACTGTCAAATACTTTACCTCTAGAATTTACTTAATTGTTACTTACTTAAAAATTGCAAATGTGATAAAAAGTAAACTACCTCAACCTTGTCATTTTTTCAATTTTATTTGATAAAATGTTCATCAGGCGTACCTGTAACATTAGCGACGCTATAGCCAAAACAAAATTTATAAGTTCTACTAGCAGCTTCGCTGCCAGCCTTCGTCTGGCTTTTAAATGTACCGGAAAAATAGCTGAAGGGAACACCAAACGTTAAATTTAAAAACTGCGTAGAATTTTACTCTGCAGAACAACTTCATAAAAAAGTTATTACGTATAACAAAATTACAATGAAATAAGCAATATTCCTTAATACAAATATTAATTATCCTAATAAATAAATTAACCAACTTCCTTTTGCAAAATCTTAAGAACTCAAATGTATAAAGGAGGTTAAGAACTTTGCTTCCTAAAAAAATCACTCAAAACTTTTCAAAATCTTAAAGACAGTGAAATGAGCAATAAATAACATAAAAGAATACAAAAAGAAAAAATTCTGAAAAGCAAAGTATAATTAATGATATTTTATCTTATATTTTCAAGAGAAAAAATTACAGTGAAATAAGCTATATCCCTTAATACAAATATTAATTATCCTAATAAAAAAATTAACCACTTTCCGTTGAAGAAAAAAAATCATGTAAAACTTTTCAATATCTTACAAACAGTGAAATAAGCAAAATATAACATGAAAGAAACTCAAAAAACAAAAAATTCCGCGCAGAATTTTACTGTGCAGAACAACTTTATAAAAAAAAATAAATAAATAAAATAAAAAAATAAATAAAATCCATTATATATATAAAAAATGACAATATGCCAATAAGAAATACGATGAAAAATTGTTTCCAAACCCATATTTCTAAAAGAGTGAAACTATTCAAAGTGATGCGATTTCATCAAAAATCTATCAACAACAATAAGAAAGGAAAATTGTTGCCCGAATCTCATTTTTAAAGATGTGAGAAGTGTACTCGGAAGCTCCATTTAAATTTTAAAAAAAATGCAAAATATTATCATTTTTCCAAAATTCTTTTTGTAAAAGCAGTCGCAAGGATAAAAGTTTAACGTGTCCAAAAATAAAAGAAAAATAAACTGCACATTTTTAAAAATGAATTTTTTAAGAAAAAATCCCGTTGAAAAGGTAAGCTCACTTTGTTAAATAAATTCGTATTTAATCGATTTATTGAAACACGAAATTTATTTTAATTTCGTAAAATAGCCAAGTCCCTGCGTTTCATGACGATGTGAAAATGGAGTGTGTAGAGTAAAATCTCGCTTTCCTGTAGTGCATTATGTCTCAAAATGACGAGATTTCGTAACAAAACATAAAATTAAAAAAAAAAAAAAAATCTAATTCGAATTTTGATAAAGTCGCTTCGAGGGGCACTGGCTTATGTCTAGATGCACTTATGTACGAAATTTCGTAGCCGTGGGTCTATTAGCTTACGCTCAGCGCGAACGAAAGTTTTCAGTACCAATAAAAGAATTAACGTGGCAGTAACATTTCTATGCATATATGTATTCCTATACATATTTGTGCTTATTTATTTACATTTTTTCGTATTTTATCATATGCTGATTTTATTTAATCTGTATTTTCTCTTATTTTTAACCCCAAAGTGGCAATTTGCTCAGAAGGACTATTAATTTCGTTTCGGCATCTTACGTTGATTCATTATCTGTAGCAATCTTGCTTTTAAGCAAGTAGAAAGTAGATGAGGACTTTGGTGAACGCCGTTTCCTCCAGTCCGTGACGGATTCATTATAAATATTCCAAAAATGATTCATTATAAATGCCGGTTCACTTTTCAAATTGTTGCCACCAAATGTTGGAGTCCGGCATTATATTTAAAGAAATTAAATAATGAAGAATCCGCATGAATGTATGTATATTTCTGGCATTGTGAATAAAACAACGGTACTTAGAGCCATCAAATGTTGAATAACGCACGTTTCCATCCGAATATTGGCACTTGGAAGCCCAAATTTGGAATTTGGGATTTGTTTTATTATCAATTTCATATTTTGTAAAACTTTAACGAATTTTTGATTAACAAACACAACAATTTCAAAGCCAGCAATGGCAATACCTGTACGGAAAGAAAAGCATTTTTATCTCCAGCGCGCGAAACTGAGTATCGGAAATTCTAAAGATATGCTCATTTAAAAATTATTTTGCGATATTGCTGTTGAACTGAAATTTGTGGTTTAAGCGCGAAGAACAGGGCATTTAATAAATAAAGGTTACACACAAAAAGTTAAAAAACACGCATTTGGGCATAATATAAAATCTGAAACTTTAAGATTTTTTAGTCTAAAGGGGCTTTGTCTCTGAAGGACTATTGTTTTCGTTTTGCGATTTTGCGTTGGTTCACTATAAATGTCCGTTTCCCTTTTCAAACTGTTAGCACCAAATGTTAGAACCCTGCATTATATTTGAAGAAATTAAATAATGAAAAATCTGCGTAAATGTATGTCTATTTCTCGCATTGTGATAAAACAGCGGTACCTAGAGCCATCGAATTTTGAATGACGTAATCCTACTGCGAATATGGGCATGTGGAAGCCCAAATTTGAAATTTGGAATTTTTTTTACTATCGATTTCATATTTTGTAAATCTTTAACAAATTTTTGATTAACCAACTGAACGATTTCAAAGCGAGGAATGGCACGTCGTACAGAAAATTCATTTTTATCTCCAGCGCGCGAGTTTGCGTATCGGAAATTCTAAAGATGTACTCAATTTAAAACTATTTTGCGATACTGCTCTTGAACTGAATTTTATGGTTTAAGTGCGAAGAACGTGATATTTAATAAATAAAGGTAACAGACATAATGTTAAAAAACGCCCATTTGGACGTAATTTAAAATTTGAAACCTCTCAGGTTTTTATTTTTTAAAATTTTTTAATCTGTATTTTCTTTTATTTTTTATTGCTATTTATGTTTATTTTACGATTGTTACTGCTGGTTTCTTTATTTTATTTCTTCATTTTCATACTTATTCAAAGTATAATCATCGTATAAATCGATGACCACAACTTCTTGTGCTTGTCATGGTAATCAAACGAAGAAAATTACGTTACACATAATTAACACATGAACATGCTTTAAACATAATAAGCACATTAAACATAACACAGTTTATGGCAAGTAAGACTATTCCATTCTGCTCAGTGTCTCTCAGTTTTCCTTTATTCGCTTTCTCTTTGAAGTTATTCCTCTGTTATATATGCCTGCAATGAAGTTATTACGGCACTTAATTGTATTTCGCAATCATTAAAGTACAAAAACATCTGTTTTATGTTCTCAAAAGTTTTTTTTTACCTTTATGTTTACCTGTTTGTTTATTTTTAAATATATCGTATTTGTTCCTTGTATCTGTTTCCTTAGAACAATATTTATAGGAAACTTGCCTCGACGCTATGTATGAATTCACAGTCATGCTACTCTGAATAAATAGTATATTCAATAGCATATTAGAATAGCTATCCAATAGCATATTAAAATTGCAGAGAAATTATTACACTCTAAAAACAAGATAAGAGAATTATCTCTCTTGCCTCTGTTTTCTATCATAAATGATTTTAAATTTAAATCTTATCTTACACGCACATGC